ATTGGATAAAATTCATTTTTAAAATAATAAAGATGTCACAGCAAACATTTTGTGAATTAAATCACATTGATGAAGATTTGGGGCAGGGTAGACTGCAACCCAAGTTAGATGACTCCCTCTCTCTCTTCTTCCCCTGCCTTCTCTGAAGCTCACAATCCCTAGTTCACTAGCATCAATTCCAAATCTAACAAGGTATCCAGAAGGGCGGGGCTTCTTCCTTTTTTCATATTTTAATTGGAGCATTATAATTGTACATAAAAATGGGATTTTTGTTCCATATTCATACATGCACACAATATAACTGGCCTCCTACCTTTAATATATCACAATTGTACTCCTTGGAAAGGAGTGGGGCTTGTACTGTTCTTTGTCTTGATATATAAGACTGAGGCTGTACTACATACATCCAATCTCAGTTTACCTGCTTTCCCCTTGACCAACACATCTTGAGCAACCTCTTTATACTAATGTTCTCCTCAACTTCAGTTCCAATGGCTGCACTGCATTTTATTCTATAGATGTGCCATGATTTATTCAGCTAAACATTTTATTGAACACATTACTTATTCTGAAATTTCCACTATGACAAATGTCACAGTAATAATCCTTACATATGTCATAAGATCCCCGCCCCCACAGTGAGGATGTGAGCATTGAGGAGTATAATACTGGCAGTATAGAGTTCAATATTCCTCAGTATTTGGGGAGTTGGTTTCATCTGTTCATTCTTTTTTCTTTCTTGGTGCTAAGAATCCAACCCAGGACCTCCCACATGCTAGGCAAGCACTCTACCCACTGTTCTACACCCCTGGCCCCTCATCTATTCATTCTTTTGTTTAACTTGGGAATCATTTTATCAATCCTCTCTCCTAATTTCCTTTCATGTTTGAAATGATATTAAGTCCATAAATTAATTTGAGATAGTATTAGTTATGTATTGCTGCATAGCAAATTATCCTCCAATTTAGCAGCTCATAAACCACACACATGCCTTTCATAACCATTTTAAGGGTTAGGAATATAATAGCAGCTTAGTTGAGTGGTTCTGGCTCCACATCTCTCATGAGATTGTAATGAAACTATTGACCAGGTGGAGATTTCTCCCAAGCAGAGCTGGAGGATCCTCTTCCAACCTCACTAGGGACTGGCAGGAGGTCTCAGTTCTGCCCATGGGCCTCACAGCATGGTTTCCTGAGTGCATGATGAGAGCTGAGAGCCTGGTCAAGTGTCTGATAGAAGGAATACTCCCTTCTGGCACGGGTGTGAAATCCAGGAGGTAGGGATCTTTGAGAACCATTTTCGCCGATTAGCTGATACGGAGATTAATTGGATATTTTTTCAATATTGGTTCTTTTCTGATTGTGAATGTCTTGTGTTCCTAGACCAACTTAAAGCCTACATATTCTCCCAGTAAAAAGGTCTACTTTTCCTTATTACAGGTCCCCACGTTGTTAAGTTCATTCCCGGTATTTCATATGTCTGGTTCCTCTAGTGAGCAGGATCTTATTTAATACATCATTTTTTCTCCCTCCCTCCTTAAATCATTATTTTATTTTATTCAAAAATATACCTCATTTTTTTCTAAGTAGTTGCTGCACTAATGCAGGAACACTATTGATATTTATGTCCATGATGACATAAGTATCATCATGGTGGTGACAAGCAGAAACTACTGTTGACTTTCGCTGAGCCCTTGGATTGCAAAATAGATGGAGTAAGATAAATAAGTACTCTTAGGAGCAGCTTCCCAAGTGATGATGCTCCAGGGAAGGTGGACAGATTGTAAGAAGGGCCTTCCTGTAGCTGATTCTTCCATGGTAACTTTGCCCAGACTCAGCTATAGCTGAAATGAGAGGGTCCTCTGGCCATCACTGACCCTGCCTGTGAGGGACTGTGGGACATGCTGGGGAAGCCAAAGCAGGTGGCTTGTGACAAGGCTATCCATTCACCTAATGTAGCCCATGACTCCTAGGTCTAAGTGTTCAGCATCTTTCTGCAGAGCCCTGCTCTGGATGGCTCCCCAGCATCTGCATAGGCTCTGCCAGTTCCACCTGGAAGGTTCCTTCTTTCATTCATTTTCTATAAATATTTACCATGCATTGCTATGTGACAAGGAGCATTCCATATCAGTGACGAACTGGATGGAAGCACTTGCCCTTGGAGTGCTTATTATCTAGGAGGGAGAGAGAGAGACAGAAATATTATTGCCAAATAAATAAGTAAAATGGTAGTTTACAGAGCAAAGGAAGGGAGGGGTCATCAGGAGGATAGGGGAGCTAAAAGTTTGAGCCAAGACTAGAATTTGGTAACTGAGCCAAATGAGGTCTAGACAGAGGGATGAGCCATTGTGAGGCCCTGGGGAGGCAGATGTCCAGTGTATTTGCTGTCCAGTGTGAGGCCAGCAGGCTGTATCCAGTGACCAGGTGCAAAGGGGTGGGTGGTGCCATATGAGGGGTGGTATGAAGCTGGGCAGATTATGAAGGGCCCGTGGTCCCCTGTGAGAACTTGAGTTTTGAGTAGAGAAATGACATGCTCTGATTTAATTTTAAGAGGATTTCAGTAGAAGCAGAGATTCTGGATAAGACCCTGGGACCCCCAATTCTACTCTTATCTGATCCCTTAACAATGCCTGTGTAGCCCTTTATTCCCTCTCCCCTGAATCTAGCCAGCATTTGGTGGCTGTTTTCCCTGCTTCCTGTTTTTCTAGCACCCTTTCCACACCAGTGACAAAGCTGTTTCAGAAATGTCCCAAAGCCCTTCTGCTGCTTAGGAACCTGAAGTGATATGATGGTTTGTCCACCCTGACTTCCTGGCATAGGGAGGTCTGACTCTGCCTGTGGTCCTTCTCTGGGGGTGGGTCCCCTGCTGATCTCTGGAGGGAGATTGGTGTTAATAGATCACATTTTAGGACTTTTGAAGTACATTTGATTTCAGTCATGTGAGTTACATAAGTGTATGCTAATCATTCTATAAAACAGAAAAAGTTAAAGTGGTCCCTCCCCATTCCAAGATGAAACAATGTTGAACAATTAGATGTAAAATCATCTGTATTTTTCCTTTGTTTACACAAAAGTAGTCAGAATTTCTATTTTATTATTTTCTCTCCCGTTCCATGTTCAAACATGGACTTTAAAAAATGGATTGTCCTATGCACAGAATCCTACACATTGCCTTTCCATTTCATCTGCCTTGGACCTTTCCCCCTCGTTAAGCCAAATCGACCCCACTCTGTGACTGGAGCATACAGTTTTATAGTGGGTGACCCCTGAACTCACCAGGGACTTTCAGGTGGTTTCCAGTCACTTGCACAATAGCATTGCATGCGCGTATCTCCTGGCGCCTGAAGGAATTGCGTTAGCCTGCAAAAATAAAATGCATCACATGGCTAATGAGAAATGAAAACAGAATACAGCCTGTTGAAAGGCTGCAGGAAACCTGGTCTGAGAACCGCAGGGTTCTGTCGCTGCTTATCTTGTCTCCTGTTATCTGGGGAGCCCAACAGTGCCCAGTTCGGCCGCCAGAGGGCGCGCCATGCCAGGCCGAGCCTGAGCGGCGGGCGAAAGCCAGGTGGGAGGTGGCGCCCAGGACTGCCCAGAGGCCCCCACCACTTGTTACCGAAACCCGATCTATCCCGCAGAGCGTCTGCGATCCGCCTTTGGGTCACGTCCCTGGGATTGGATGTCTCCTGGCCTCCTGCCCCACTGACCTGGGATTGCCAGGGAGCGCCCCTCCCACCAGCGAGGTCTGTTCTGTTGCACAGGACGGGGAGCCAGCTAGGGTCATCCTCATCTGTTACCACTACAAGGATGACACCATCATCACCTAGCCAGAGGACAGGACCTCATGCCCATTCCCACACCCAGGCGCCTGGTGCTGCTGCTCTGAACAGCATTCTCTTTGGCCCTGTGCCCTTTCTTGTCCCATGCCTCTGGGGAGGCAGGGAAGAAAGACACTGCCTGTAGGAGGCCAGCTCCCTTGGTTGCCTTCCTCCGCTGGTCTTCTCTCTGGGCTTTGAGCTGCCCCCAGCCCAACCACAATTAAGGCCAGGAAGGTCAGAGCAAGAGGGGGCTGGGGATCCTCAGTCAAGAACCAAAGGGAACCATGTCCCCTAAAGGAGTCAAAACTGAGGTAGGGAAAGGAGAGAAGAGGTCAGGGCAGGACCCAAGGCCACAGCTCATCCAGGTGGCTGGAACACCTGGGTGGAGGCTCCCAGAAGATCTGGGTCACATTGGGACAAGCTGTCTGGTCCTGGGAAGTGGCTCCAGACAGTAATTCTTTTGACCTAGTGGGCTTCAAGCTGGTTGAAACCTGCTTAGTCCTTGCATTTGTGTGGGTTAACCTTGCCGAGAGAGCTCACTTGCCACCATGTTCCATCGCTCAGATGTGCGATCCACCTTGAGTCCTAAGGGAAGAGAAGGGGACACAAAGGTCACCAATCCAACCAAGCCACAATGCCAAATCATATTTGTTTGCTTATTTTCTCCTGGTGGGATTCCATTTTTTAAACCATCAACAAGAAGTTAGATTTGAAAATTGGGTTGAGTCCAACTACAGCACTTTATTGGTTGGGTTGCCGCAGGCAAGTCGCTTACTTTCTCTGAATCCCATTTCCTTATCGGAATAAAAGGGCAGTTAACTGTAAGTACCTCTAAGCATTGTTTTTTTGGGGAGGGGGGGGGCTTTGGTCTCAGCAAAAGCAGTTCCACCCACCCTCACAGCCAAACAGAGGTGGTTTCCCTCCAAGCAGAAAGTGCTATCATCCTGCCCTTCCCTGCCCAGGTGCCTCAGATCAGGGCATGAAGAGGAGGCAGCTTCATATTCTTCCTATTTCATGAATTCCAGACAACTGCAACAACAAGAAGATCAACATCAACCATCCCATTGGGCCCTGGGGGGGGGGGTTGTCTCTCAGCATACACCCAGCTTGAGTTTCCTAATGGGGAAAGGGGAAAGAAAATCTGGCTTTCTTCTTTCTTGGAACTCCATGACAGTACTCCTTTTGGTGTTCTCTGTTGATACCATTTCATGTCCCTCCTTGGCTACAATATTGATAAGAGGAAAGATCTTTCCTCTCCCAATGCGAAGTTTTAAAAGCATTACCTCATTCTGCCAAATGTCCTGGAAAGGAGAGGGCTGGCAGTGGTGGAGCAGGTATATAGATGGTGGGGCTGAGGAGCCCAGAAGTTCCTGGCTGGCTCTTTTGGCCTCTTTTTAAAATTGGCCCCCAATACAGGGAGTTAGTAGGCAAAGCTGCCTCCTCCTTTCTCTTATCTGCAGAGGAGAGATCAGTTCTCCGGCTGGCCAGGGCAGTGTCATTGATACAGCTGGTGTCATCGTTACCTTCCACTGACAGATCACTCAACACCTACTGGCCCAGGCAGGGCTGGGCCTGGGCCTTGCCCAGCTGAGCTAGACCTTGGACTGTCCCTGTTTTTCCAGAAGTCGAGGTGAGTCCAAGACACAGGTGCTGCTGGGATACAGTGTTTGGTGACCCAACAGAGGGACTCAATTTCTCCTGGTGGCTGCTTTCCCTTTCAGGGTCCCAGAGGCTTCCTTGGTTCCGGCTACTTGGTCCCCTGCTGTCCTGGGGAGAGGAGATACGCTCATCACTGGCTGGGAGCTGAGGCAGAGTGATGCTGCTGCACAGAGAAGGGGCGCTGAGAGTGGCGCCCGAGTGAGGCCAGGGCTGAAGAGTGGCTTGGGGCATCCTGCCTGGCTGCTCTGGTCAGCTGCCCTTCTGGTGTGTGCATCGCAGGTGGCACCATGCTGCAGCAGATCCTGCACGACATGTACATAGACCCTGAGCTCCTTGCTGAGCTCAGCGATGTGCAGAAGCACATCCTCTTCTACAAGATGCGAGAGGAGCAGCTGAGGCGCTGGAGGGAGCGGGAGGCCTGGGAGGCCCTATCCCAGGGGGACGGCCTGCGGCCCCCGAAGGTCAAGCGAGGTATGTGGCTGGGCATTCACTAGTTCCAGGAGGGTGGAAAAGTCAGTGAGGCTAACCTGGGCTCTTCTGCAAGATGTGCACTGGTATGATGAGGGTTGAGGGCTTAGAACCCTTATGCTGTGGTGTTTGGTCCCTTTAGCCTGAGCTTTTACTTTAGACCAGGACTATAGGTTTAGACCACAGCAGAGGCTCTACAAAGTCCCTGAGAATGTAGACTTGATTTATCTTTTTGTAGAAAGTCCAGGTTCTGTGAAGTCACCCTGGGGATGTCAGATTAAGCTCAGGCATAGTTGGCAATTGCATGATGGAAGGAGGGCATGTACTTGACCTCATTGCAAGTTCAGGCCAGGGTGCAATGGAGACATGCAGTTCCTCTTTCCTTTGCGAGCATGACTCAGTAGTTCCCAGCTTGGTCTTGCACTGCGCCTCTCTGTTTCCTCATACAAAGGGATGGTTTGGATTATGCCTGGAACTCTGCTGGGCGTCTGGAGAAAGGGTGTCAGGGAATATCATCACACAATGAGTCACCAGCCCCCAAATGGAAATAGTAACTGCAGACAAGAAGGATGGGTGCTACCTTTCAGGTAGTTTATATGCAAAGTCATGTGCCAATCAAGCCCATGGATGGGTCCACCTGAATGAAGGAGATTGTTCAGGACCCCTGGGCTAGAATCTGCTGGGAATGGTCATTTATGTGCACTGCACTCATTTTATACTTTGCAAAGCTCATTGCCTTTCTTTTTCCCTTCTGTGACCCTCCACTTGGCCTCTGTACTATTCAGCCAGTGAAGTGAACTGTTTAAAGTCTTCAATTCAAGCTGTTTCAGGGCTGTTTCAGGCCTGGGCATACAGGCGTCTTGGGGCTCTAGCTTCCGCCTTTCACTCCAGCCTCACTGCTGGCCCTTCCCCAGTTTGCACCAGGATGTAGTTTAAGATGTGCTCACTCCTGCTCTGGTCTTTGCACATGTGCTTCTTACTATTGGGAATGAGCTCCTGCCTTCATCCACTTGAAAGACTCCGTCAGAACCTGTCTTGTCCTCGGAGTCTTTGGGGATGCCCTCCAGCATAGGGAGTACTTGTCCCTATGTAGCTGATGGGCATGCAAGACTTACCCCAGCCCTTGCATTTGCCACACTGTCATTGTCATTCATCATCTGCTTGCTTGGCTCTCAGTAGACTCAAAGGCACTGGAGCGTGAGGCCATACTCCATTCTGCCCTTCTCCCTTGGGCCTACCACTGAGCAGGTTGGTATACAGTGTTAAATCTCTATTTTGAACAAGACACAGCAGGACCCTGAGGGGGCAGATTGTGGCAGAGTGTGACTTGGCTCACTAGTGGCTGTATCACTAACTGGCAAAAATGACCAGTCACCTTTCCAGTCCCATCCGACCTGTGCCTCGAGGCCTCACATGGTGGCTCCTTTGGGAGGAAGGCAGATGCCCCAAAATTTTAACTGCAAAAATATTTATATGGAGATTTGTCTTACATTGACATCTGCATTCTCATGTATAAATTATACATTAAACTCATATGGGTTTCTGGAGCAGAAGATTCTTTTCTAGGTTATTAATTTTCAGATTTATAAAGAACGGAAAGAGGGTGAACATGTTGAGGAATATGCATATCCTGGGTCAGGATCCATTTCGGATGCCAGCTTTGTGCTTCAGTCTTGTCCTTAGGAACTATCTGGGTAGGCCACCAGAAGCCTGGCTCTGTCCCTGGAGGACAAAGAGCTTTTTGTTGGAAGAGTCTGGGCTGCATGGTGCCCTCTTCATAACCTCATGGTGCAAAGATACTGTACCATGCCTGTGAGTTTTCTATTTGCCAGGTGCCTGCCCTACCCTTAGTCCTCCCATGTGGGGTGCAGGGCAAATTCCTGTGACTCCATTTCAGGAGGAGAATCTGATGCCCACAGAAAGGATGCATTGTATCCAAGTTTACCCAGCTGCTAAGAAATGGAGTCAAAACACACATCTTGTGACTTTGTTGTGGAGTCTAATGACTGATGCATGCTTTTTCTTTCATTTCTGAACTGGGGACTTGAATTAGATGAATAATCTATGCTCACATTCACTTGTTCATCCATCCATTCATTTGTTTGTTTCTCCAGCATTATGAAGAGCTGGCTTTGGTGAACTGGACGGAGCTTTATTTCTCCTGATCTTAGGTGGATAGATCACAGGGAACACAGCCAGGAGCCAGGCCTGGTGCAGGGCAGCTGTGTGGTGGCTCCGGGAAGGAGCAGGAGAGGACAGTCTCCACCCACTGGATCTTTTCTCTTCCTTCCTACTCCCTTTCCTCCTATTTATCCTGAAAGAGGCATCTGTAGTGCCTCTGGTGAGCTGTGTGCTGGCCTCTTGGCATCCTAAACACGATCTCGATGGGTCTTAGCCAGCTGGAATGATGCTGCATCTCCTCCTGGCCACTGTCCCCAGTCCTGCCTGTCCCCTTTGTTCTCCTCTCTCACCCTCTCTTTTCTGGGAACATTTCCCAGCTCCCAGTAGGCCTGACCTCACTGTTCTTAGGGCTCAGGTAACGCTCTGATGGCATTTGTAGGCAGCGTAGCACAGGGCAGGACAAGGCATGCTGTGTACCTAAGAACTTGTCCACTTTCAAATTGTGCCCAGTGAGACTGGGAATAAGCAGGGTGGCATAGATCATTCTAGTTCACAACACCTTGGGGCTTTATTGGTCTTGGGACATATATTTGGGACCAACACATATAAGCTGGGGTGAAGGCTTAGAACTATACCATTAAAGCAAGGCAGGAGAGGAGATGGGGTCACAGCTGGGCATACCTCACTCCTCTAATCTTGTGGCACTTCTTTTCTATTTTTACTTTCCATTTTGGCATGAAGCTTTAGAGGTTCTCCCCAGTCATGGAAGACACAGGTCCTTAGCTTGGAAGATGGGGTATTTATCATGTTGATTATTTATCATATTTTGGATAAAGTTTGTTGTCCAGTGGGAAGTTGTGTTGTTATAACATTATGTTCCTATTAAGACTTAAGCCAGTCCCCTTCCCTACCCATGCAGCCTCCTCCAGCTTTGTTCCCATGTCCCTGCAAGAACTCCCAACTGCTTTGGGAATCAGAAACTTCACAGTCTTGTGGGTCACTTCTGCACTTGCTTAGTTATCTAGTTATCCCAGTTTCTCAGGGCTGGAGTGTTGTGGTCTTGGAGATAAGGAGTCAGGGCACATATTCACACTGCTCTGATAATATGGGAAGCTTTCCCAGCTGGACCTGTCAGCTCTGCCATGACTGACATTCTGCTAGTGTTAAATTGGTTCCTCTGTGTCTACCGCCTCATCTTTCTGGATGTCCTCTGGGAGCCAGACAACTTTCCTTGACCTCCTTCCTGCTTTCTCCTTCAGTGTGGCTGAAATCAGCCACAGTGTGAAAGCCTGCACACCCAGGAGGTTGGCTTATTCTCACCACACAGCCAACCCTGAGGCAGAATCCCGCATCCCTCCCAGGTGGCTCTTTGGCCGGCATCTATTCCAGCCTGTGATGTGCTGGGTCTCCAGCTTCCATTACCTCCATACCTCACAGCAGGGTTCAAGATGACCTCCCACCTCCTGGTCCACCTCTCTGCCTGCTTGACCTGAGCAGCTCCCAGAGGCAGCCCCAGCTGGGGCCAGAGGGAGTCACCCTCCTAGGCCTCCTTTATGTCTCAGCAGTTCCACTCCTGCCAATTCAATGGGAGTTTCATGAATGCAGAACTTCTCACTGGCCCTTATGTTTTCTAGGGACATCTAGTAACCATGGCAACTTCACCTGTTGAATCTAGGTCCTCCTGTGCTCAGCATGTGACTTTTCCAGGCACAGAAGTCCCAACCTTGAATGCTAACCCTGACTGGAGCATTCATAGTGTGACCATATTCTCAGGCGTCCCCCTGCCTCACACTCAGCCACCAAAGACCATTTGATATAATAAGTCTTGGGCATACCTCACTTCTCTGCCTGGTGGCTTCCATTACACTTACAGAATGGTATCCACATATCTCTCCAATCTCTCCAATCCCACTGTGTGGGAAGCCCCCTTTCCCAAACCCTCCCAAGGATGGTTCCTTTCTATCATTTTGCAATTACATGTTGAGTTCTTTACTGACGACCCACTCTCAAGGAGTCTCTCTGATCTCTCCGTTACAACTCCCTCCCTAATGTTTGTCCTAGCACTTACCGCATCTGAAAATTATCTATTTTTATTTTAATTGTGGAAAACATAAGATAAAATTTACCATCTTAACCATTTTAAAAATATGCAATTCAGTGGTTTTAAATGTATTCAAATGTTGTCCAGCATCACCACTGTCAAGTTCAGAACAAAAGGAAATCTTGCATCTATTGAGTGCTCCTCCCTCTCCTCTCCTCCCCTCAGCCTGGCAAACATTGTGTTTTCCATTCTGAGGATTCTTGCCTTCCCCTCCTCTGTGTCTTTCTCTCCCTCCTCTTCTTACTGTTTCTTTTTGCTAGTTTATGTTCTGTCTCCTCCATTTGCTTGAAGTCATCCCCAGACCATGGGTGTTTCTTGCATTGTTCAAGTTTCCATCCCCTCATCTAGAACAAGGCCTTGGGGTACAGTTGTAGCTTGTGTGGGTGAGCATAGGCCACGAACCTTGTATGCATGGTGTGTCCAAAGGATGTGATTGAAGAACCAGGTCTTAAAAGATTTTTTTTTTAATATGAGGCTATGTGCTACACCATGTGATTCCTCTTGTTGATCTTGAAATTCTTCAGTAAACATATATAAAGATTGACCATATAAACTTGTGCTTTATATGAGACTGATATATGAGACTGATATATGAGACTATAATATACACATAGTGACAATTCTTTGTTATCTTTTCACTTAGAGCTAATTTCATTTTCATTTCTTATTTTAGGATTTTGACTTAGATTTTTAGCTTGTCCAATACTGCTTTTTAAATTCTCATTTACTTAGTGTGTATTTGTGTGTATCTCCTCCACCCTAGCCTTTTGATATCATTTTTTTTAAAAGAAGACTCTATTGGAAAATGTGTATTAAATACTATTTGCAATTTTAAGACTTATTTTGGTAAATGTTCTCAAACCTATTTTCTTTTTTTATCATCAGTAAAGAAAAGGGCTTTATGGTGGGCATGAGGCATAGTCACAGGGAATTACTGTAATCTGTTGATAACTGAAGGCATGGCCCATGGCCTGGGACCACCCTAGTTGTAACTATGTAGCTGGGTGTAGGGTGCCCGGCTGGTCAAGAGAGTGGATAAAGGAAGTCCCTGAGAGCCATGATGGGACTTGCTGTGTGGTCTGTTGGCAGTCTGACATGGAGAAAAGAACAGGTAGCCAGACCTTTCTGCTCTACCCACCTGGTCTGTGTAGTTCACTCTAGATGTACCATGTAGTAGGTGCTCCACTCAGGTGTGTGGCCTAGACATTGATGGGGACCCACTTTTGGCTAAGCATGGTGACATGTCTCAGCATCCTGGATGTGTCATCGTCCTCCTGCAGCACAGCCTTCATCTGTACTGGGGGAGGGGTTCTGTGACCCTCTCCCTTCATGGTGGCTATGAGGATTGGATGGGCTAATGTGCAGTCCCTGAGGCCCGCCCTGTGTGCATGATACTGATGAAGGTCTTCTCATCCTTCCCAATCATTTTCTTCTTGCCACCCTAGGCCCAGTGGTGTGCATCCTAGTGAACAGCTCCTCCTGACAAAGGGCACCAAGGCCACTGTTCCCCATCTCTAGCACCAGCTTTCAGAAGCCACAAAGCCCCAGACTTGCCAGGTGGGCAGCAAGAGGAACCAGGGCAGAGGCTTCTGTGAGGAGTTGCGGAGTCATCCACAGTGACCAGGGTGATGGCTCTGGTGCCTGGTCGGTGCCATGTCCCTAGTGGTGAAGGTGCAGTTTTTGTGGCTATAGAGGAGGATCAACCTTATTCGAGCCCTTGATTGTCCTCTGTATCTCTAAGCACAGAACTAGCAGCCTCAGGCAGCTGAGGGCTTTTGATAGGAGGATCCTAAAGGGGTCTCTAGGAAGCAGACTCAGATCCAGGGTGGTGGAGAGGGCAAGCAGAACAAGGCCTCAAAGCAACTGCTTCTTGGAAGGAAGGCGAGCTTAACCAAATGGAGACTTGTCTGCCCTTCAAGCACCTCCACTTGCCTAAGCCCTTCAGTGACTTGGAAGATGCATCCAGATGTATTTCATAAAAATAAAAACAGTGACTGATTAAAAGACATGCTATTATTTTATGTGC